CTTGGTATTCAGAGTTTTTTCATCTGAGGTCATGTATGTCTCATTTGAGCAAGTTTGACCAAGTAGAGTGGATGTTCAAATAGAGTCATCTGGATGTTGCAAAGGGTAGTCTCACACACAAGCATAAAATGTAGTCTCACACACATACAAAAATATGTAGTCTTACACACGTACACAAATATATAGTCTCACACGCATGCACCATAAATGAAGCCTTACAAACACACACAACTAGCTAGCCCATCAGAACGACTTTCCCTTGACACCTTTTCGCTCCCATGGCATTATATCTTTGGGGATGTTCTTTTCCACACCACCGATCTTCTTAGGAAAGTCTGTGAATAGCGGCATCTCATCATAGTTATTGTAAGCTTCAACATCGTCCTCGCCATCAACTCCAATAATGTGTTGTTTCCCGGAGGCAACCACGTGCTTTGTCTTCTTCTTCGGGGGGAGGTTACTTTGTGGGTCAGACATATAGAAAACTTGTGCAACACGTGAAGCGAGCACCCAAGGGTCATCTTGGTAGCCTAGATTCTCGAGGTCCAGGACTCTCAATCCGATCTCGTTCAGTTGGTGTTGTTTGATCCAGCGGCATCGAAACAGGGCCACCGTTATATCCCTTCCATAGTCAAGTTCCCATATCTCTTCAATGATGCCAAAGTATTGGATCTTTCGCTGAATCCATCGAGAGCCTCTATTGAACGCCTTGTTGTTTTGGTTCACATATTTACTATCCTTTGCGTGGGTATAGTACGTGTACCCATTGATGTCATAAGCATTCCAAGATGTCACTTGTCTCAATGGCCCCTCCGCCAACCCACTTGATGGTAATAGAGTCTATGGTTTCTCCAGCGGTATGTTTTGGTCCTTCAACCATATAGTTAGTCGTTGCTTGTCTTTGTTTCATGACCCAATCATCCGAACGGCCATTTCTCTCCGCCATAATGATAGCCAAGTGTTCATCAATATACGGTTGCATCGGTTGTGTACTGCAAGACAACATGTAAATGTACCGACTCACCTCTTTGTAATCATGGTCGATGAACACTTTTCTACCACCGGGTGCCCTTCCCAACCAAACCTACCCTTGTGACGAGAATCGGGTTTACCAATCCTTTCTCGTACTTTTAGGTACTCTTGACAAAGACTCGGACGACTTCTTCAAGATCAGTAACCCTCTATCATGGAGCCCTCTGGGTATGCTCGATTATGCACGTATTGACTTAAAACCGACATGAACCGCTCATAGGACCACATTTCATACAAGTAGCAAGGGCCAAGCACCTGTATCTGATGAACCATTTGAATCATGAGATGTGGCATTATATCAAAAAAAGCGGGGAGGTAAACACATCTCCAGTTGGTTTTGTGTCTCCACCACAAATTCATGTAGGTCACTCGGCTCTTCCTTGCCAATCGTCTTCGTGAGATCTTGAAAAGAAGTAGCACACATGGTGATGGCCATTTTCAAGAACTCGGCTTTATAGCCCGATTGCAATAGGTAGAAACAACATCGACATCACATGGCAATCGTGAGCCTTGCGGTGTGTTATTGACAAGTCCTTCATCGACACTAGCTTCTTCACATTTCTTTGAAAACCCGGTCGGGACTTTGATCCCCTCGTGAAAGTGCATATAGCTCTCTTCTCGTCTGGTGTTAGGTTGAAGCACGCCCAGGCGAGTGTATTTTCCATTAGCCTCCGTGTACCGGGTGAAGTTTGTGGCATCATGTTTAATCGCACCATGTCTTTCCGTGCTTTTAGACCATCCTTTGACTTGCCTGTGTCCATCAAGGTATCAATGAGACTCTCAAAGACATTCTTCTGTACGTGCATAGCATCAATGGCATGGGGGACCTCCAAGTCTGGCCAATAAGGCAGATACTGAAAGAAGATCGATTGTTTCTTGAAAGGTATGCCTTCGATAGGAGGTGTGCGTCTATCTCTGTTCGTCCCATCTGGATTCTTCTTTCCATAGACGACGCGTATATTTTTCACCATTCTGTACACATGTTCTCCGTTATGACGTCTCTCCAGAGGGGGTTCAATCTCCAGGGCGTTGTCATAAAATCTAAAGAACAATTTGCTACGGTACTTGTGACTTGTCTTTAAGAAGCGTCGGTTCCTTAGGTAAACTATCTTCTAGGATGCATCCAGGTACACCCATGTAGTACCATCCAAGCAAACCAAGCATCCCGTCTTCCCTTTGATCTGTCCAGACAAAGCAAACAACGCGGGGTAATCATTGGTAGTAACAAATATTATTGCTCTACATATGAAGTCCTCCTTTCGGAACGCATCGTACATCTGCTCCCCATGCCTCCATAGTCTCTCCATTTCTTGCATCAAGGGCTCGAGGAACACGTCTATATCAATGCACGGTTGTTTAGGGCCGAGAAATAAGAATAGTGAGGAGAAGGTACTTTCTCTTGACACAACCATGTTGGGATGTTGTACATGGTCAAGATCATGGCCATGTCTTTGTGGTTGCTCATCCTCTCATTGAAGGGATTCATTCCATCGGTGCTCGAGCCAAACCGTACATTCCTTGGGTCATATTTGAATTCTTTGTGCTTCTCATCAAACCTTTGCCATCGACTACAATCAGCCGGGTGTGCAATCTTATCATCATCCACCTTGCGCTCATCATCCCACCATGTCATGAGTGCGGCTTCTTTAGGGTTTAGGAACATACGTCTCAAGCGGTCGGTCACTGGCAGGTACCACATTACCAGGGCAGGAATTCTTCTCTGCTTTGCATCGTTGCCTAATGGAGTGTCCTCTGGGGGCTGAGATTCTTGTACCACCTTTTTTGTACCCTTCTTATTCCTCTTTTTCCCCGTGGATGGTTCGTCCCCCACCGTAAAGGTCATTGTTCTTGTACCGGTGGCCCCACACCGGGACATTTATCCAATGACTTGAACGCGTTTCACCACGAAAAAGTATACTGATGGTTGGGGCATGCATGTATTTTTTCAACCTCCATTGTCAATGGACTTATGATCTTCTTCGCTTGGTATGTGTTGGCGGGAATCGAGTTTGGTTGTGGCAAAGCACCCATGACAGGAGATGCAATAGATCATTGAAACTACAGTCTGACCAGCCGTACTTAGCCTTCAGGATGAGCAGCTCAAGCACGAAACGTAGCAATGTCCAATGTGTCGGACAACCCTTTTCAACACCATACACAGTCTCCTTCGATGCTTTTGTCACTCTTTCCAAATTTTCTAGACCTTTCGGGCTATTTAGTAAAATCTCTGGTCCAAGGGTTCGAATCATGTCATCTAAATCATCTTCAACTTCGACACATGCTCCACCATCATTATTGGCACCACCTTCGTCGTTACCATCCCAACCACCAGCATCACCACCTTGTTTATTGCCAAACTCGAAATCCATTTGTGCATCAAGCTCGGCTGAATATTGGGACAGGGATTCTATGGTTTCATCGTCGTATTCCTCCTCATCCTCGTCGTTAACAATAACCGTTTCACCATGATGAATCCACACATGTAGTCCTCAACAAATCCTCGTATAATCAAATGTGATCGATGATGATAGTCACATCATCCATGCCATACGGTTCTTGCAATCTTCTACAGGGGCAAATAATTGTATCCTTATTCTCTTTCAATGTCGTTGCATGCTTCGTTGCGACTTCAATAAATTTATCCACCTCTTCACGGAAACACGCCTTGAACCTTAATGAACTATACATCCAAGAGTTCTGTACTCCATCTTTTACAACAACAACAAAATAAACATTAAAGGACTACTTATTCAGATATATATAAAAATTAATCAAAGTAATAATTATTTGAGAATAATTGTATATACCTCGAGATATATATGAATATAAATCTAATATAATTACATGAAGCATACAAACACACCATGGTAGAGAAAAATTAATTAATGGCCCATTTATCCATAAATAATTAAAATACATATTTATTGATTACAATAAACAATTTCAAAGACAACAATTAGCAATAATTATACTTTACACAATATCTTTCGTACAAACCCTAGTCCAATTTTATCAAACATAAATTTACAAAAACGAAATTAATAAAAAAACCAAACCCTAGATCTAGATCACATGCACATGAAACATCCATAAAACTAACTAATGGTTCACTAAAATCAAGAAACATGGACCAAATAAGGGTATGATCTTGTTTCCCTCCCTAATTTACCCTAGTACATTTAAAAGTTGGGTCTAATTTGCTCATAAATAGCTCAAGCACCATAGAAGAGAGAGAAAAACAAAACTCTAATTATTCACTAATCAACCATTAAAACTTCAAAAAAAAGTGTGGAATAGCATTTTCTTACCTTCTATAACCTCTCCACCAAAGGATTTGAGACCAAAACCTTCCCCCCTTAGTAGAGCAATTTTTGGGAGGTGCCCAAGCCCTCCCCAACTTTCTTTCACGGGTTGGAGTGAATGACCCGAGGAGGAAGAAGGTGCTGCTTCAGTTTTATATGGGGGTCATTTGCAGGGGCGGCTGGTGATTGAGCCGCCCCTACAAATAGAAGCTATAAATACGGGCCATTTTTAGGGGCGGCTCAATCACCAGCCGCCTCTACAAATACCATTTCTACAGGCGGCTGGTAATTGAGCCGCCCCTAAAAATCATACTCCATTTGTAGGGGCGGCTCGTATCACCAGCCGCCCCTGCTGTTCCATTTGTAGGGGCGGCTGGTGTCTGGGCACCCGAGCACGCCACTGTAGGGGCGGCTCCATCACCAGCCGCCCCTACAAAAAAATTGAACCGTTGCTACAAATCGTTTTCTACGTAGTGCTGCACACTCTCTGGATTTGTTGCCAACAAGAGACATGGTTTGGAACATGTCATACTCTTCGCCAGAAAGCTGAAGAATGTTAAAGTATGGTGCAACGATACAACTACTGCTGATACCCCAATATGCATTTCTGTTCCTAAGCATTCTTCAAACCGTTCACAAAGTAAAATAATGTGGTGTACAAAAAGAATGGAACATAACCGTCGAAATGAGGCGATCTTTGATTTTATCAGGATTCTTGAGACGCGCTCCAAAACTCTAGAGTCTGTTTCCATGGTTTCTAGTGGACTTTGCCAAGACTTCCTGGGCTCTCTTGAGGGACCATGCAGCATCAGTTCTATCAAACTACGGGGAAATTTAGACAGACTGCCTGCTTCTGACAAGTTAAGTGAGCTTGGTAGAATTAAGAAGCTGCAACTCTTCTCAACTGGTCTCACGATCAAGGAACTATCTGTCTTGCAATACTTACGTGGCTTGGAATATCTGAAGCTGGTAGAGTATAGTGATAGATTTTCCAGTGGCATTTTCATTGTGGAGAAAAAGGGATTAGAAAGCCTAAACAGACTGTGCATCGAGGCCACCATGCTTCCCAGAATGCAATTCAAAGAAGGATCTATCGAAAGTCTAACGCCCCTTCACTTTCTTTGTCCAAATTCCAAGAAGCAACCATCCGAAACCGTAGAGGGCATCCCACATCTTGCAAGTCTCGCTGAGGTGATGCATAACAGTTCTATGCAGAAAGATTGGGAAACAGTAGCCAACGAGAACCCTAACAGGCCGCGTGTGAAGAGGCAAGGGGAATAAACTACCAATACAACATCATATATGTTGTCGTGGTAGCAGCACATGTTCATCTCTTTTGTTTAATTATTCTGTTCTATTTTCTGATCTTCATTTTCATGGATATGGTCGGTATTTGCATTCAATAATTTGTGAGGCTACGTATTGAACTCTGAGTATATGGTGCATTATATAACTTTGTAATTTTGTAATGTATACAAATGTTGTATTTCTAATATCATTTGTGATAAAAAATTGGTTTGTAATGAGATTAGCACTGCAAAATGATAAGAATAATTGCATTTATTTATGTGCATGTGTAGGAATTGTTGCATGGACAGATGCTGAGTTAAATTGTATACTTGTGCTCGCACATGGTTTGTTTGTTCATGTGCAGGCTTGAGGCAGAATATGGTCGGTGATGGATTGGAACTAGGCTCAGGAGGAAGTAAGGTCTTTGGACTAAGTTCAGGGGAAAACTGAACTCCTTTTGGTTAACGATGTCATGTGACATGTTCAGGTTAGAGAACAGTCCATAAAAAGATTTGCTGATGTACGAATTACTTTGTGACTCAGTGTTAGTGTGTTAAAATGGAAGCCAGCAAGAGATATAAAAAATCATACTGCAGATGATGATTTATGTAAATGTTCGTAGTGAGGACGGTGATATACGAAGGATTGTACTATACATATGATGTATGAAAAAAATACACGCTTCGGATAGAGAAGTATGAAAAATTCCGTACTGCGGTTGGTGATGTATGAAAGATCATACTATTTAAGCAAAGAAGGAATTCAGTCATAAAAAATCTCGAGTCAACTTGACACACTCACCAACATTTTCTGGTAAACAATGTCTTGCATAATTTCATAGCACGACTGCACAAAGAATGATGGTTTAATCATGATCAGAATATTTGACACCACACTCAAAAGGAGAATGAAGAAAATTCACAGCTTGGTTGTCATGCTGATAATGCTACACTATCAGTTAACATTGTGACCTATTAAAAAGTCAGAACAACATGAAAACGGTAAAAAAAGGAGCAACAATTAGCAGTTAGTGGTCACCCGATGGAGGCAGCTGCTACGATAGTGATGAAGAAAGAAGTGTATGCCCACCTCTGTACTTGTGTCGACAGGGGCAATGGCAACATGCACTAGTTGGTTTACTTACATGATCATATGCATGGCATAACTTGCAAAAAAGCCAATGAGAGGGATCAAGATGAGGAGTTCTCGAGAACCCCCAACATGACAATCTATCCAACATGTCGAGGGCGAACAAGGTCGTATAGAATAAGAAGGGAGCATTCCATTAGTAATTGTTATGGTAGAGGCAACAACCATCAACAACACGTCTTTGCTACCGTCTTGATGCAAGTGCATTCGCTAACCCCCACGACAGTGCATGAGTAATATGGAGGAGGGTTCAAGAGAAGGCACGCCATAGCAATCGATCCGTTGAGCATGTTGAGCGCCAGCATGGTCATGTGCTGGGTACACATACTACGTGGGCGTGCCTGTGCTTGCCGATGTCACAACTGTCATGACCCAACAGTGCTTCCATCTTGAACTTTCCAAAAACACCCCTTGAAGCCTAAAACTCTTACCAACTCTTCCTTGAACCCTGACCAAAACCCCTACTACATGTCACAAATCACTTGGATTACGAGTCTTCATCAACCGTGTCACGAGGCCATAGCCTCTTTTAGCTCTTCTCTAGCAATGGACAACCTTATCAACTTAATGGAAAACATTACATCTATCTCTTGAAGGACAAGAATCCAAAACTCGACTCTTAAACCCCATGATCTACTCTAGTTAAACCAAGTCAAGCAGTGTCAACCTTGGTCAACTGGATGGCTGACTTAGACAATATTCTGAAGATCATCACCTGGGAAGTGATATCTGATGCTCAAAAGGTTTCTATAAAACTTACAAAATATATTAAAGGCCCCAATTCCAATCTCTCCTCTCCCAACTTACAAAAAAAAATTCATCTAATTTGACATGGTCTGGTTGACACTCAATGTTCAAGAGTTATAATTTCTACCAAAATGATCGATGCTAATAGTGTATTGGACATATTAGTACCCCCTCCCAAAAATGGCAATAAAGTTTCAACAGCTAGTTTCCTCATATCTAAATCAGTTGGGGGCTTAATCTGATGAATTTACATTTAATTTTACTATTCTTATTTTTTCCTTAAATGATAATGAATACTCGATGTACCAATCTCACTGTACATAAGCTCAGTAAATAATATTTCTTCTGGACATGTGGTTTTCCAATTATGCTGTACTCACCCACCTTAAGTGGTAAAATCTCATAAAAACCATTGTATGTTAATATATAAATTATGTGCCTCAAGAACCTGCAAGTCATTGTTCATATATGTATATATATATATATATTCTTAATATGATCCATTTTACATTATAGATTATAGACCATATTACTACTCACTGCTACAGAAAGTCTATTCACCGTCGGAATAGACTGTGGGTTAAGTCTCAGATAATTATAAGGGTGTTTTTGAAAAACTCGCAGCGAAGGGGTATCGTCCACCCACGGCCGCTGGATTAGATTTGAATGGCTAGGATTGAACCAGGCGGTGAAGGAGGCGACGGCGGCCGGCCGGGATAGAGCAGGCGCGGTGGTGTCATGGCCGGTGAAACGATGAGCTCGTCGGAGATAATGGTTCTTGGCTTACAGAGCACGGTTTGACTCACCGGTGACACGGGGACAGAGAGGAGGGGATGTGGATCTCACCGGAGCCGAAAAGAACGGACGGGAAGCGACGACGGTTGCGCGGCGCTCGGAGAAACAGCGGCGGCACTCCAAGCTTGCGGAGGCGCTTAGGTCTAGGCGGCTGAGAGCTTGCACGGGGATGAAAACCTTGCTGCAAGATGGGATAGGGAGGCGGCACAATCTCGGTGGCTATTTAATTGCATGGAGACTTGGGCGGCATGGCGCACAAGGCGTGGTGAGGCCGGATACGGGCGGCGTTGGCGCGGTGGACTCCGGCTCGGTTACGGCGCGTGGAAGGGGATACACCCGATAGGCGGGCCCGGCGCGTCAGCGTGTAGGAGGGAAGACGCGCGGCGCGACGTGGGCCGACATTCGGCTGGGCCATGCGGAGCGGTGGCGCGATGAGCAGTCTTTGGGCTTCGGCCCGAGCGGGGAAAAAAAGCAAGCGGCCAGCTGGGCCGGCCGGGAGACGAGCCAGCAGGCCAAATTTGAGAAAGGGAGATAGGAGGGAGGGAAATCCATTTTTCGTTTTCTAATTTTTTTTCCAAGCAAATCTCAAAATGCAAATTCAAAACAATTTAAAGTTTGATTTCACCACTCAAAAATTATTATGCAGCTGCATGAATGCACATACATGATTGTGACCTTATATTTGATTTTATTTTTATAAAAAAAATATTATTTTCCTAAATTCAAATGCTCACAAAAATGCATAATAAATCAATTTCCACTATTTTAAAATGTTGCAAATTTTAGGGTGTTACAATAGACCATATTACTACTATTATGAGACATGTTTTAAAGTTGATTGATAAAATAATCTATCCAGTGATTTTATTTCAAATAACAACGAGCACTATAATTTTTAGGGTTGGTACTTTGTTTCGCATTTCAGTGAGAAGGTTATGCTTATTTAATATGAAAAACACACAGAAGTTGGAAGTGTACAAACTTGGTTTGTAAATGTATAGATTTCACTTATCTTGACCATTGTAATGAAACAATAAGAACAAACAAGTAGCCTGGACTTGGTTTGCAGATATATACAATTTTCACTTCACCGAAGCATTTCAGTGCTGTAGGGGTATAATAAGCACAGTATTGTTCAAGGTTTTTTTTCATAAAGGCAATAATTGTCAAAAAATCAGCATTATATGTATTATCATCTATACTATAAAGGAGTGAAGGAATTGGAAATCCATTGTCACCGAAAAAACTTCTTACCCACTTTGATTGACATGTGGACCCACGAGACAAAGATGACAAGAACATATGAAACATGCATGTTTGTCTCTTCCTACAGGTGACTTCCCTCGATTTTTTATCACAGACAATGATTTCATACCCGCCGCGCGTACCCACACCCACCCCTCTTCCCTAATCGGCGAGACGCAGACGCCGCCTCGCCCTCCCCATCTGCGAACTTGGGCGGGCGCCCGTCCCGGAAGCGCGCTCCCTGTCCTAATCTGCGACGCCACTGCAACCGCTTCCTTCTCACCCCCACGCGTCGGTGGCACCGTATCACGCCGCCGTGCAGACCGGTCACCAGTCACGGAGACGGAGACAGCAATGCGACGTGGACAACGAATTAACCCGGTGGGGCCTGCCGGCTTCGTCCACCAAACCGGCGAGGCGACGCTATCGCGACGGCGATTGCCCGTCCGCGGCTCTCAGGTGGCGTGGACACAGATCGAGGCATGGGCCATTGGGCCATAGCGCGGAGGCATGCTGGTCCACATCTTCTGCCGCGCGTCCCCGCCGACGACTGGTACTGCCCCCGCCGCCGCTTCCACCGTCACCAGGAAGCCTAAACGTGAGTGCTTTTTTTGAGGAGAACGTGGAGGTTCCAGAACGTCGGCCTGGTCGGCGAGGGCACGACAGTACGGTCATCACCGGCAGCTGCAGCGCCACCGACGGGTGGCTCCATCCCCATCCCGTTCTAGCGTACGACTGCCGCAATCACCGAGCCTCCGACTGCCGCGAAGGCTGAGGCCAGAGGGTTGTCTCCGTGACGCCATCTTCCAGATCAAGGTCAGTTAACCTCACATAGGTCATGGCGCCACCGCCACTGCCCAAGTCGCCTGCCTCATGGCAGCCTGAATTTCCGTTGTGTGTTTGTGAACGGGATGCAATCATGGTTTGATCTCATCGTCTCGTGTTTGTTTATGGCTGGGTGCTAAGCTTGGACTAGAGATCAATAAATGTTTAGTGAACTGCTAGATAAATTAATCTTTGAATTGTCAGTGTACTATTCCATTGATGCAGCGGAT